AACTATTCAAAATTACACACACACCCTCAAAAAAGTATTTTTGACCCAGTCCTGAAGTTACATATATTGCGGCACCACAGCAGTCATTTGCCTTTATGACCAACCACAGAGATGCTGTAGTATGCCCATGCTACCCCTCTGGATTTCCACAGGGACTGGGCCTGCTTTGCTGGCCTCCTGGATTCCACTTGCTCCTCCTCACTCAATTTCCCATCATTTACTTACTTTTCAAAGATCGCCAGAGTTCCAGAACAGATTGACCCATGTGGCAGAAAAGCAGAGGTCTTTTACTCAAATGTTGGTGAAGCTGTAAGAACTTCAGATCTAAGGAAAACTGCTTTGCCAGCATCTGAATAAAAGACTTACCAGTATCCCTGTAGGCCTCATTTGGTCATGGCCTGGACAGTGCCACAGCAGCCTCTTGCTTGCTGCTGAATGCCTGGTTTGATAAAGCAGTTTCACGGATTGGAGTGTGAAGGCAGCGGAGGCAGCCAATGAACATGTAGCTTGAAGTTCAGCCCAATGAGACAAAGGAAACAAGCTTTACATTCATTGTCTGCCATGCTGCCCAGTCCCTGTGGAGACCTAGCAGGGCAGAATGGGTGGGAGAAAAAAGTCCGGGGTCATGTTGCAGCATCTCTGCGGTCGGTCGTAAGGGCAAACAACTGCTGTGGTGCTGCAATATACATTAATTTCAGGACCAGGTTGTAAATATTTTGAAGGGGGGTCATAATTTTAAATGGTTGCTAAGTGAACTGTCATAATGTGAGGAACTCGAGCAGCCAATCAACTCAGAGTTTGTTTCCTTTGTCTCATTGGGCTGAATTGCAAGCTCCATGTTGATTGACTGCTGCTGTTGCCTTCACATCCCAATCACTAAAGCAGTTCATTCAAACCAGCCATCCAGCAGCAAGTAGAAGGCTGCTGCAGTGCCGCCAAGACCAGGACCAAAGGAGGCTTGCAGGGACACTGGCCTCATGGCAGAAAAGCAGACATCTTTTATTCAGATGCTGATAAAGCTGTTTTCCTTAGATCTCACGTTCTTAAAACTTCACATCTGAGTAAAAGACGTCTGCTTTTCTGTCACTTGGGACAGCATGTTCTGGAATTCTGGAGATCTTCGAAAACTAAGTAAGCAATCAGAAATGGGCGGGGAGGAGCAAGTGAAATTGGGGAGGCTAGCAAAGCAGGCCCAGTGCCTGTGGAGCCCCAGTGGGGCAAGATGGGGGGGAAGCAACTAAGGGGACTCCAAGGGATTGTAAGTGAGCATGAGGCATCTCAGTGGATGGGAGGAGGCATTGCGTGGTCAGAAGCAGTTGGCTTGTTCCCGCACTAGGCCCCACATGGTCTTCCCCATCCTGAGATACCTCATGTGCACTTAATGATATGTGCATTCAATTAACAAATGCATTGGGAAAAGCAGGGAGGGATCACTTTCATTTAATGTGATCAATTAATGAATCCTCAGGTTATGAATGTAGGCTTTACTACATTTATAACTCGAGGATTATCTGTAAATGTTGGCAAGAAATATTATATGTGCCATGGTTGGGAACCTATTCTATTATTTTTCCATTTTTAATTAACTTTTATTGCTTTTTAATTAACAACAAAAAAGAAAAAAAGGTGCAAAAAGATAATGTTGGTTGTTACCTATAAAGCCCTACATGACATGAGTTCAGGCTACTTGAGCAACCTTCTCACCCTTATGGAACGGGCCTGTCCTACCTGTGCCATCAGAAGATCCCATCAGTCAAAGAACTTTGGCTCATGGGATCCAAGTGAAGAGCCTTCTCTGCCTTGACCCTGGTCATTTACAATATCTTGCCTCCTGAAGTGAGATTGGCTCCTACCTACCTGACCTTCCATAACAGGGTGAAAACTTGGCTCTGCCAAATAGCCTGGGCCCTGATAAAGGAGTACCACACTGGTTGACCAATTAATAGCAGTTCTCGTCTCTTCCCCCTGTACATTCTGCTCCTTTCCTCTCCATCTTGAAGGAGATGAAGCAAATTGAAGGGGAACTCATCACATTTGCAGATGACATCAAACTGTCAGGAGTAGCCAACACCCAGAAGACAAACTCAGGATCCAAAAAAATCTTGACAAACTTGAACAATGGGTCCTATCGAACAAAATGAGTTTCGATGTGGAAAAAAACAAAGTCCTACACTTAGGCAGGAAAACCAAAGGAACAAATACAGATTGGGTGAGACCTGGCTTGGAGGCAGTAACTATGAGAGGGACCTTGGAGTCCTGGTGGACAATCACTTAACTATGAGCCAGAAGTGTGCAGCAGCACCCAAAAAAGCTGATACAATCTTGGGTTGTATAAACAGAAGCATATAATCAAGATCACGCAAAGTATTAGTACCACTTTATAAAGCCCTAGTAAGATCACACCTCGAATACTGCAGCCAATTTTGGTCACCATACCACAAAAAAGATGTTGAGAGACTGGAATAAATTCAGAGAAGAGCAACTAATATGATCAAAGGCCTGGAGACCAAAATGTACAAAGAACGGCTGGGGAAATTGGGTTTGGCTAATCTAAAGAAAAGAAGAAATAGGGGAGACATGATAGCAGTGTTCCAGTATCTGAGGGGCTGCCACAAGACAGAGGGGGACAAGTTGTTCACCAGAGCACCAAAAGGAAAGACAAGAAACAATGGTTGGTAGCTGATCAAGGAGAGAAGCAACCTGGAATTAAGGAGAAGCTTCCTGATTGGGAGGACAATCAACCAATGGAACAGCTTACCCCCAGAAATCATGGGCACTCCATCGCTGGAAGTTTTTAAAAACAGACTGGACAATCACCTGACTGAGATGGTATAGGTTCTCCTGCTTGAGCAGGGGGTTGGACTAGATCAGTGGTTCTCAACCTGTGGGTCGGGACCCCATTTGGGGTCAAACGACCATTTCACGGGGGTCGCCAAACAAGGCTGTCCGCCATTTTTTTCTCCTTTGGCCACACCCCTGGCACCCAGTGATGTATAAGTGGTTGGGGTCACCACAACATGGAGAACTGTATTATGGGGTCGCGGCATTAGAAAGGTTGAGAACCACTGGACTAGATGAAGATCTCCAATGTCCCTTCTGGCTTCTATTCTATTCCTATTCTATTCTATTCTATTCTATTCTATCTTTTAGTGTTAGTTATATTTTATATTTTTATTACAATTTCAATGTGTTTTATATATTTATAAATATATTTATGTTGTATGTTGGTGTAAGCCACCCAGAGTTGTTTTGCAGCAAGATGGACAGCAAACAAATTTAATAGATAAAATAATAAATAAATAATAAAATTAATGGAAAAAGATACTTATCAAAAAGAAGGGGGGAAAGGAACATGTAAAAATGCTAAAAATGAAAATAAAAAGTTACAACTCTCTATATATACTTGTCTGATGCAAATATTATTCAAATATGTCTGATACATTTATACAAGTATATTTTTAAACCTGTTGTATTCTATATAAAAATGTTCTATATTTTATTATACAGCTATGCAAACTCTACATCTGTAGTCTTTCCGTTTAGAGATGGCAAGTGCAATTGGCTTTTCAGTTCCTGAATAACTGCAGCTATACATGTGACTTTGCACTGCTGCAATATCAGTCTTTTAACCATAGTAACAGTGTAGAAAAGTGTATAGTTTAAAAGAATATTATTTTCTGAAAATTTTACCTTCTGTTACATAAACAGAATCCACTATTTTCTTCCAAAATCTGGTAAGCATAGGACATTGTAAAAACTTACATTTTAAGCATGTCCTGCTTTTGATAATCTTTTTCTATATACATGAAGTTTAATAAATCCTAAATATTATTTTTATTGTCTAGGTTCTAATTTGAGATTACAAGTTAAGATTCTAACTTAACTATTGCAAGTTAAGATTCTCCCATTGTCTAGACAATATTGGAATCTCTCATTCTTTATTCCACCAATATTTTAGCATCTGCATATCAGGTTGATTTATTGATAAAAATATGTATGAAGTCTATTGGTATTTTTTTATTTCAAGAATTTACCCAATTATTCTGATAGTTCAGGTATCTCTCAAAACTGAAAATGCTACTGGTCCAAACTATGTTGCTAATAAATGTTGTACTTCTAAATATTATCATTGGATTATATCTGATAAATGATATTTATCTCTTAAAACAGAGTGTGTTAAAAATCATCTTCATCATCTGTTTGTTGATCCAAAGTCAGTGTCTCTGCTTTCATCCAGTTTTTCCATATCATCATCTTTGTCTCAAGTTTTAAAGTTGGGTTTCCTCAGTCAGTCAGTTTGTCATGAGAAAAAAAGGTCAATTCTCTAACATTCTAACTGATATAATTGTTTTCAGAGATACTAAAGTTTTAATATTTAGATTCTAATATAGTCCATCAAACCAAAGGTGCTTTAATGTATAATCCATAGTTGCTCAAATTGGAAAATTAAAGTCAAATGTTGGCCTTCATTATTTAATATTTACAGTAGGTAAACTTTATGATACAGGTAGTCCTTGAGTTTTGACTGTGATACTGCCCTAAGTAATAATGGTGATAAAATGACCAACTTTATTTTATTTTGTTTTTTTTACAGCAGTCATTAAGTGAACTAGTGTTGCAAAATGAACACCTCAGTCATTAAGTTAATGCCATGTTCCTTAAGTGAACCAATAGTTTGTTATGGGCAATTTTTTTGTTGAAAACTGATGGTATCTGACAATTTTCAACAAAGCTGTCACAAAAATATGGTCACATGATTGTGTTGCCAACAGCTGTAAATGTGGCCATATTATCAAGCACCCAAAATGTAGTCATGTGAACATTGGGGGTGGTATTAGGGTTGATCATCACAACTTCCAATCCAGGTCATAAATTTCACTTTTCAGATCCATTTTAATTTTGAATCGTTGTTAATTGAATATAAAAAATAGTAAAAATAATTCTCAGCAGTGTTTTGAGAATGTATTTCTTCACTTATTTTCATATTATTTCCTTTTCAGGTATTACAACAACTTTATTCTATGTACAGAACACAAGGTTTCAACAGCAAAGTGCTTTTGGCCTAACCCACTGGCTGAAGGCTTCATCACTGGAATCCATAGACAATTCTTTACAAACTGTACCTCAGATAAAGTGCATTGGGAAGATCCTCCAGATAAAATTCTGGTTCCTCTGATTTTCGTACCAATTCTTCTGACAGTTGCCATGGTTGGTTTAGTAGTATGGTATAGCAAAAGAAGTGATATTTTGGTATAACTCAGCATTCATCATCATGCTGTTCTTTCTTTTATTGATAATGGAACAGAAATATGTATGTGTATTGTATATCTACATATACATTTGTTTGTATATGAATTTGTGTGTGTGTGTGTGTGTACACACACACACACACACACACATACATACATACACACACACACACACATACATACATACACACACACACATACAGATTCATACATATGAAGACAATTTTGGCAAGCAATAAAGGGCAACATTTTTCTGTAGCTATACATATCTATTACAAACATTACTTCTCCAGCAATGCAAACATTATTTGATATAAATAATGGTTCATGACCATAACTCTATAATGAATAGAAATTGAAAACAATACCTGAATGTGCTATATATAATGGAAGTTTATGGCCTTTAAACTCAAGAGTGAATCTCAGCTGTTCAATTATTTTTTTAAACATGATAACTATATGTGGACTGCAAATTTGAAATGTATACACATTTACACTGAATAATCATATTTAATGCCAGGGCTGTTTTGGAATTAAATGTGAAAATCAAGGATATTTAAGTATGAACTTTGGGACTTAAACAGACCGTACTTGCCAAAGATATATAACATGCATATACATGTGCAGCGAAAGAAAGTGAAACACTGTGAATAATGAATGATTAGAAAATTGTCATGATTACATTGGTTCTTTTACAAATTAGTGAACAAGAAACACGTCTCTGAATGTTTGCATCCTGGACTACGGAATGATCTCTTGAAAGGATATATTTTTCTTTTGCAAAGCTGCAAAAAGAATGAGTGGAAATTGGTCAACCAGAAATGTATTCAAGTGTCAAAGGAACTGTTATAATTGTCTCTTTCTGTGTTTTTAAACTGGTAATTTTAAGACAATTTTTCTTCCTTCTTCCATAGCCTTTTTTTTTTTGTTTCTGATGTGAGATTTCATAGGAAAAAAATAGTAATTATATTAATACTGATGCATTTCAGATTTTGCATATTGAAATATAATTTGTATGTTAGATGTTTTGAATTTAGCATTCCATACAGACTTGCACATATAAGAAAAAATGACTTTAGTTTAACAAATATCTTAGACTCTTTGAAAAGCTGTACCTCCTGTCAAATGCCCAGGATAAACAATTTATATTCCTATAGAAAACCTCAGATTTGCTAATCAGAAATCTTCTGTAACATATAAACATTATATAAGTGTTAACATCTTCAATTAGAAATATTTTATTTTCATACCCTGCATAATTAAATAATACTAGAACAACTTACCAATGATCTGATATTCATTAAAAAAAATATTATTTTGGGGACCAGGAATTTCAATTGGATGTTATTAATATACCACCTGATCCTTATCTTGGTCATTTATGAGCTGTTTTATTAAACATGACATGGGGTACAGATCACCTTGCAATCTGTCTTCAGTGAAGCTTATGTATTCTTTAAAAAAAACTGTCTTAAGAAATTTCCTGTCAATTAGGAGACTTCTTGAATTAAAAAAAAAGAAATTGAGGCAGGGAACCTATTCAAACTACAATATTCATCTTATCTAAAAGATCCAAGAAATCTAGAACCATACTGTAATTTATTTCTTATAAATGCAGTATAGAACCAAACAATACGGTTTTATGGATGGCATAAAAATAGGTATGTAAAGGATGTAAATTTACCAGTTTTGATATTATTACATATATAATTTATATCTTATTAAAATCACATCATTTTGATTATTTTGTTAAAATGTTGAAAACCTGAACAAATTTATACTTGTATTGTTATAATGTAATGTTAAATTTAAAAAATCAAAAGTGAATATATTGTTAAAACTAATCTTTCTTCATAAAGCATTTCATTTAAATCTTAGCTGTTACTAAAGGAAGCAACAGACAAGAACTATGAAGTTTTTAAAAGTGTATCTGATGGATCAATGCATCTAAGACTAACAGTGGCCATCGAATATGATATATCTGGCAATAAGGTATTGTGATTTTGATCAACAAATGTAGGAGTTCTCTTCGCCATAGACATTTGCTTAATTATTATGAAACACAGAACCAACATATGCTAGGCTTTTGATCTGATTCTGTGCAGTTTTTAAATTCTTAATATAGGTATTAATTGCATCATCCTTTTATTTTGCATTGTTTTGTTCTGTAACTTTTGTAATTAGCAAAAAATTACTCATTGAGTGACAATATTTTAAGAAAGGAAATAGAAAGCTTATATTTGCTCTTCCCATGTTTATTATTCTTAGAAGAAGTGAACATTCAGATTTGGGAAATCCAATCAGTTGCATGGGGAAGAAACCGTGCTAATTTACATTTTCTCCAGCAGAATGGATGTAGAATCCATTGATTAAGCCTTCCTGCTCAGACTAAGACAAAAAAACTTTGCCACGCCTCCTTCTGGGTGTGACTTCCCCAGTTTTGTCTTAGTCTCGAGCTCAACAAGATGCTTTATTTAAGGCTCCTTAGATAGGCTAGATTTGACTTAGGATTTAATAGATCAAAATTGGCTAGATTTGAATTAGATTTGCTACAATCAATTGGACTAATTTGTCTTTAACTTCCAAATTCATTAAAATCAATTGAGATTGTTTGAGGAGAAAAGGACTCTGTCCTTGCACCTCAGCAGCCCCTTGGGGCTCCAAATTAGCAGGCTGCAGGCTTTAATCAGATGGGGGTTCCCATCCCGACGAACTGAGGTCCTCCGCAATCCCGCTGATCAGCTGGGCAGTGGAAATCGGCTTTTCTGCGGAGAGATCTCCGGAGCGCTTTTCCATCGCGTCAAGGCTTCAAGGGAGCGTTTTCTGCCTGCAGCCACAACCGGATCGCAGCGGAGGCTGCGCTACGAACCGCAAGTGCTCCAGGAATGGGGGGAATCAGGAATTAAGTTGTTTCCATTTATCTGCTGCAGAGCAATTGATTCTCCCTCAAAGTTTCAAGACTTTCTATTGTAGCTTCTCCGGAGGCTCTAAAGTACTTGCGGCCGCCATTTTGATCGCATGGTCATAGTGCGGCTGCTATTTTGAAAGGCCCATGTGGCGGATGCCATTTTGAAGGCCTACTTGGATTTATTGCAGCATCATCATTATTTCCTGAGTGCTTTGGTCTGTGAGCAGACCCATTCAGGGGGGAAGATATTTCTCTTATATCCACAGCAAGTGTGGTGAAAATCAGGGGGGGGGGCTATCCCAGGATTGGGGCTTGTCTGCATTCAAGCAGGTTAAGGTTTTGATATCTGGCCTTTAGGGCCTAGGAAAGAAGAGCGAAGAGATAATCTCATTGACCACCTGCTTTTCAGTTAGTCAGCGACCTTTAGTCATAGGGCCTGTGCAGGCAGTATTAGAATACTGCCTGGCTGTTCTTGCCATTGCCATTTGTTCAGAGTGAGGATCAGTTTTCCATCTCTGACTGTTGGATCTGCGTGTTGGGTTCCCCCCATTTCTAGGTACAACTGTCCAGGAGTACCTAGACTGCAATGGCAGACAGCTCCTCGCCCCAGGCAACTCAGACCAGTGTCCCCCCTGCACAAACAAAATGCAGATCAGAGGAATTGGAAGCGGGGGGGGGGGAGAAAAAAGCTAAAACCAAACATTTGTCTACAAAAGAAACTTCCAAAACAGCCAAGCGAGAGGCCTCGAGGAGACACTTACCACTGGAGAGAGAATTCTCCAAGGCACAAAGGCTCAGGTCCAGTGGGACTGAATTGGTTTTCCCTGCCCCACTGGACATTCCTTAATTAGAGGCTCAATTTGAATCCTCACAGGATGCCTCACGGCTTTGGTCTCCTCAGGGGGAAACTGAGCAGGTTGGTCCTCCTCGCTCCTCTTCCTCATCGTCACATCAAACACCTGAGAGCAGGCATGCCTCAACGGAGGTTGGGGCCAGCTCCAGGGGCTGAGGGGAAATGTGGTCCCAGAGTCAATTCCAGGCCTTCATGCATCACACATTCAAACAGATTATGTCATCCACTAGGAGTAGCCAGGTGCAGTCACACCCTTCCCATCCCACATCTATTCCCCCACCTCAGGTGGAACAGGACACGAGACCCGGTTCTGGTGTCTCAGAGACCTCCTCACAATTAGGAGAGGAGGGATCAATAGAACTGGAAGTAGCAGACACTCCTTTGTCTGAGGATGAGACCCAACACCTGAGCAGGTGACCTCTTCAGGCCTCTTCGATCCGTCTGTTTTTCGATCTCTCCTCCTAAAGGCCATCGCCACAGTAAAACTTACCTCGGCCCAGAAGGAGAGACCATCTACTTCCACTAAACAGGAGTCCAACCCCCTGTTTGTGGAAAAGGTCAAGGAGGACCCACAGATTCCATGTCCAATTAGTCTTCAGGACTACAGTGGAAAAGCAGTGGTCATCCCTAGCTACCACTCCTTCCCCGAGTAGTTTGGGCAAGAAACTTCACAATGTCACTTCTTCCTTTGCTTCTCTTCTAGAGTTCCGACTGTGGACGCTCCCCTGACATCTCTGTTCTCCAATACTGCCATCCCTGGGGACATGGCTGAATTCTTGAAGGCGGAGGACAAAAAGTTCGAGTTCTCACTCGCAGAGCTCACCAATCTTCGGCTTGGGCCATAAGGACGGCAACTTCATCCTCCTTCTTTGCACGTTCAGTGATAATGTGGCTGCAGGATCTCCAGGCGCTCATTCCACCGGACCAGGTCAGGGCGCACCAAACATTAGGCAAGATTGTGGCAGCATCCAAGTACATTGCGGATGCATCCCTTCATTTGGCCAGGTGTTTGGCCAGATCTATCGCCGCCACAGTGGCGTCCCATAGGCTGCTCTGGTTGAAGCAATGATGAACTGACTTAAAGTCAAAGTGGTGCCTATCAACATCCAAATACAGTGGAACACACCTTTTCGGCCCGATCCTAGAGGCTCACATCATTGAAGGCAAGGACAAGTGCAAAGTGATGGCCCATCCCTCCAAAAAATCAGATAGACGCCCTCAGCAGGATTACCGTAGGCCACCTTTATGTCCCAGTGGTACCTGGGAATGGAGGCAGCCCTTTCAGGCTGGGTAGTCCTGGGATTGGCCCAAAGGTTCACAATCCTATTCTTCCAGGCAGGATCGGCAACAGGACCGCCAGATTAGTGGAGCCAGGGGTCAGTCCCAGACCAAACGTCCCTTCAGGGGCTCGGGCAATTGCCCATAAAGGTAGCCCAAGTGATGCCAGGGAGGACAACCCCATTGGGGGTCCATTGGCACTGTTTTACGACATCTGGGAGGGCACAACCACGGACGCTTGGGTCAGGGAGACCGTAAGACAGCGTCTCTCCCTAGAGTTTCGGTCTTCTCCCCCAGATCATTTCATACAGTGCCCGGTTTCAAACAAGACATCAAAAGCACAACTAGTCACGACAGCCATCGCACACTTACTAGACATCAGGGCCATAGAAAGGGTTCCTCAGGACCAGATAGGAGAGGGGTTCTACTCCATCCTGTTCATAGTTCCCAAGGCCTCAGGAGAATGGAGGGTGATACTGGACCTCATGGGTCTAAATTACTTCCTAACTTACAGGAGGTTCAAGATGCAGACCCTAAAGTCCATCTTGGCAAGCATCAGGAAAGGGGACTTCCTTTCCTCCATCGACCTGACAGAGGCTTACCTCCACATTCCGATCCTCCCAGAACATCGCAGGTTCCTGCGGTTCTATTACGCGCACCAGCATTATCAGTATCGAGCCCTCGCCTTCAGTCTCTCTTCGGCCCCGAGGGTCTTCACAAAGATCTTGGCCGTGCTGGCGGCTCACCTGAGGATGAGGCCTGTGTGCGTACAGTGTTATCTGGGCGATATACTAGTACAATCCAGATCCTTCCAGTCAGCACAGTCGGACCTGGCAATCACAATCCAAACACTTCAGGATCATGGGTTCTCCGTGAACTTCAAAAAGAGTCACACAACACCCACAAGACGTCTGCTCCATTTGAGAGCACTGATAGATTCGAATCTATGCAACGTGTATCTTTCTCAGGAGCGTCAGGTCAGCATTCGAAAGCTGGCCCAGCAGATCCGAAGGGAAAAGAGGATACCTCTGGTACAACTATCCCAACTCCTTGGGAAGATGGTCTCTTGCATGGGCATTGTTCCGTGGGCCAGGCTCCACTCCAGGAGCCTCTAATGGTTCCTCTTTCCCTTTCAGAGACGCAACATCAGTGCCTCCAACAGGAAAGTCAGAGTTCCCCATCACACTCTGTCTTCACTTCTATGGTGGACCTTGTCTGCCTTGAACAAAGGCACCCTTTTCAAGGAACCACCCAGGGTCACCCTGACCACAGACGCCAGTCTGTTTGGTTGGGGGACACATCTTCAGAGCCACTTAGCCCAGGGTCAATGGTCCAGGTCAGACCTGACTCACAACATAAATTGACTGGAACTCAGGGCCGTCCACCTGGCTCTCCAAAGGTTCTCCCCCCTTGTGTCAGGGAAACACGTGTTGATCCTGACAGACAACATTGTGTCCAAGGCTCATGTAAACAAACAAGGGGGGACCCACTCTTGGCCACTCATGCAGGAAGTCCTGACCATAGGGCTTTGGGCAGAGTCCACTCTGAGCTCCATCAGAGCGGAACACATCTCGGGAGAGGCAAATCAACAGGCAGACTCCCTGAACAGGGCCACTGTGGATCACTCAGAGTGGAAACTGGACTCCAACCTGTTCAGGGAGTTATCGCACAGGTTTGGCTATCCTATC